GTCGTGTTGTACCTCCACCCCTTTTCTTATCAGGAACGCCCTTGGACTGGGTTAATGAGACAAAATACCTGGGTGTGTATGTAACTCGCACACGTTGTCAGATCCCTGAAGTCCGCTATCTTCGAGACATATGCTTTCGGCGTCTCGCTCCCCTCTCTACCATGTGCAGGGGTTCCCTTGGTGCCACCATCCCTGTACTTCTCACCATGTACAAGTCCTTTGTCCGTTCCTGTGTCGACTACGCCGCCCCTGCCCTCGTCAACATTAGTCGGACTGCTGTCAACCGTCTCGAAGTTATCCAGAGGAAAGCTGCTCGTATCATCCTTGGGACTCCTCAGTGGACACGCTCTACTTCTCTATATAACGAACTTGGTCTTTCCCCCTTACAGGATCGTGTCCAGGAGTTTTACCTAAAAACTGCCGTTTCCATTCTACGGGATCCTAGGGGCAACTATGTCCAAACCAACTTGACTACTGCTGTCCGAGACCGACCTCCATCTAGAAGACAGTGGCGAGGGTCACTCATCCGAGCCCTTCAGGAACACGACCTCCTGCCTGATATTGTTGTCACCCCTGCTGTTGGTTCGTCTCCTTCTCCCTGGCTGGATTTTCAACCTGAAGTGATTGCCCTCGGTGGACCGCTCCCGAAATCCCAGGTGAACCCTGTTATTCTCTGCAAATACCACCTCTCCAGGATCGCTCACTGGTCCCCAGGTAGGGTCGTCCTCTACATTGATGGTTCTGTTGACCCCGCTACAGGTAGGGCCGGGGCTGGTGTCTACATCTCCCGTCCACATGCCCCTGAGCCTATCAAACTGTCTCTCAGAGTTTCTGACGGGGCATCCTCCACTCAGGCTGAACTAATAGCCCTCCTTGCTGCCCTTCTCGCTGAGGAAGAAGCAGATGGTTTCTGCCCCTTGCTTGTCTGCTGCGATTCCAGGTCTGCTCTCGACGGGATCGCATTTGGATCAGGGGAAAATAAGGACCTCATCCTCCGAATACGAGGGTTAACATCCACACTTCAGGATGCAGGCCGTCCTGTGACATTCCTATGGATACCTAGTCATGTCGGTATCTTGGGGAATGAGGCAGCAGATGACCTTGCCAAGACTGGCTGCAACAAGGCCACACCTGACTACGTTGTTCCTCGAACACTCTTACAGATTAGGACCCAAATCCGCCTCAAACAGAGAGAAGCTCGGGAAGCAGCCATCCCCCTGGACTCCCCGCCCACCTGGTACGATGTCCTCCGTAAACTTCCTGACCTCTCTTACGTCTACGGGAAAGGGTCGCGGAAAAGGGACGTGATTGCTGCCCGTATCATCATTGGGTATGACTTTGCTTGGGAGATTGGTATCCCCACATCCCCTGAGCAACGCTCTTGTGCGTTATGCAGAAGACCCGACAGCCACACCCTTATTCACTACCTCCTAAGATGTCCCCACACACAACGCTTCCGTGACGCCTGCTGGACCACCACTCCACGACCCCCTGACGGAGACACGATGATCCTCCCAATACTGGCCAGATATTTTGTAAATAATATTGATTATGTGTTAAAGGAATATCCTTCCTTCCTTAGGCTTTAGTAAGCCCCTTTATAATATTTATACTGTATATACTTTTCACACTTGCCAGATGATTCTGGTGTCATTGTACAGGGGTACCTAGTGACAGCACTAGGATCCCGCTTCCTCTATCAAGGAATAAACAATTGAAATTGAATTGAATTGAATCTTTTGTTTTTATCCCTCGCAAATTTAAGACAGTAATACGTACAGGGGGTATTTATATATGATCAGGATTTAATGAGGTATTATGGACAACTTGGGAAATGGTAAATGACTCGGTGAGGAGAATGGATAACCAGGAAACAGTGGTGGCCCAGCAGTTAAGCCAAAGGGAGATCTGAGAGATTCATTTTGGAAGTTGTATTTATGTTTCTTAAAACATCCGTATAAGATAATTCATTAGTTATCATAGTAATGTGTATATGTACGGCATCAATTACGTATATATATATATATATATATATATATATATATATATATATATATATATATATATATATATATATATATATATATATATATATATATATATATATATATATATATATATATATATATAACCACAAGGAGAAGAAAACACGAAGATGTGAATTACAATGAAAGCGCTTGGGAACTTCGTGTTTTCTTTTTTGGTTATCAGCATATACCTAGATCACGCGCATACGGTGATTTACTTGCATATATATATATATATATATATATATATATATATATATATATATATATATATATATATATATATATATATATATATATATTATTATAGACGTTATAGAGCAGCTAGAGAATAAGCTTATGCAATTTACAGGCTGTTACAACTAAGCCTCCTCAGACGAACGAGCTTTCAGTAGGCCTAATATTGTTATTGTTATAATGTTATTAATGTGTCTCAACAACCAAGGTCCTTAAGCACGTAGCAAGGTTTAAACTTGAATGCATAATTGTATCCTGAAAACTAATTAGATTTTCCTTTTACTTTATCGAAGTAAATTTGTTAAAAAGATTCTAAACTCCGATATTCATATATGATCGTAAAAGTAATGATTTTCTCTGTATATTTTTAGCAAACTTTTATTAATATGCTGTACATTGATAGCTCCCCCACACTACCCACGCCCTGGCTATTAGCACAAACCTTCAGTGAACTATACTCGTCTCATTTTACATGGATACACCCACTGGGAATTACCGAACGCTGGCCAGTCCTGCTAAAATTAAACATAGATTAGTATACATTTGCTTTGATTCTCCAGAGTGTTATCACGTTGGGGCAATGTCATATTTCCCATGAACCTGAAAAGAAGTTTTACTGGTTGCTGTCGTTTACCTCCAAGTTTAGAAACTGAATTAAATTTGAAGATCATATTTGTTACCATAAAATACATAACAGGCACCCGAGTCTATTTGGGAGCTGACATTAGTGTGGTAAATAGTTTTGAAGATTACACAGAACTGATCGATAGACTGATAGTAGTGTATCTTACTACTTCACTACAAGAGACCTGTAGTGTCACCCTGATATGTTCTACAAGCAAATACATTTCCAATACTTATTATATACAGCAGAATGTGCACGTAGAATATATCAACATAATTACTCACGCTGCTAAACCCACCTATAAACTTATTACCTGTTAATCGGGAAACATAAGTCAGGACACTGGACCAGTACCAAACCGGTGCCTTTCATCAAGAACAACCACTTTAAGTCTTGACCGTCTTCTTTTGCTCTAACTTTAACATCACAATATGCAGAGAAGAATGTAACCAATATTGTTTATTTTTTAAGACTGCTGCACAAACTTTAACGCCCATCTTTAATGACTTTGCAAGATCATGATTTTTTTTGGACCTGCTGCAACAAAAACTTACAGCGTATATTAATGTCGTTGGATGTAACGAGCTTTTAGATTAAATAGATGAATATATAGAAGAGAATTTACTTATATATTCATTTAAGAGTATATTTATTAAGTCATTCGTGTCTCTCATGACAAGAATGGTAAAAGTAAGGTGGGCGTGGGAACACCAGTCTTCGCTCTGACACTATTTTTAGCCACAAAGTAATAATTTTTGACTATAAAGCTGTGATATTGACCTTTTAACAGCGATCACCAGAATCAAATGGTTTCCATACCGTGCAACATTCATCTCATTTGTCGGGTTTCCATTGTGAAGTGTTGAACAGGACCTAAAATGATGATATGCTTCTGGTGGGGGAATTTGACATTTTAATGGGTGGATATTTCTTAAACGGGCGAAACGGGCGTCTAATGCTGTGTTCAGATTAATTTTTGTATAAGTTCGGTTCATTTCATTAAAATTATGAACAACAAAAGTGAAAACACACAAAAAAAAATCACATTATCGTCTTGTTTACAGCATTTACCTAAGATATTGTCATGACATTTTCAAAGTTTTTAATTAATATGACACTTCTCTGATAACACTAACAAATTTACGAATTACTTGAGTTCCTCTTAGACCTTACCTACGAACTAAAGTGCCTGGGTGTACTGGCTCAATGTGTATTCCCTTCAAGCTGGTACAGTACTTGGTGTTAAAAAATAAAGGCACACTGTTCTCTATTGTGTTGTTTGCTAAGAGATAAAAAGAAAAAAATAATATTGTCGTCCACTCTAGAACAGGAAATAAATATCGAATGGTTCTCCCAACTTTTCAATCACTGTACATGTCAATTGACGTCAGATGTTAACTATAGCTAAATATTATCGCAAGTAGGAGTACAGTACATCTGTCACAGTACCGTGGGGATAGAATATTAATTTCTTTTATATCGTTAATAATAATACTAATAATAATGTCCAAAAGGATGGTAGAGGCTAAGTTCTGCATTATAGGCTTATTTTAGTGCGATTCAGGGGTTTGATGGGAACATTTTCTGTGGGTGTATCCCTCTTGTGGACCCCACCAGTGACTCCATGATTTTGTTCATCATACAGTCCCTGTACTAGTCTGGGAAAACCTCTGGTACCAATTCGTTGAACCTAAACATGAAACTTGAAATACTAGTAATGTATCTGGAAGACCCTGTCGTTAATTGTACCCATATTTAGTTATACAGAAGCAGGGGCAGAATTTTTCAGAAGACTCCAGGCGCTCATTATATTGTTTTAACTGGGACTGTCTTCACTTTCCCAACTCTAAAGTGAGGTAGCCATTATGAGAGTGCGAACCAGCTACCCCGAGGACGACAGACAAACACTGGATCAACTCTTGAAGGAAGAATACTTCTGTTGACGCTGTAATCTTTTCATCCGTCCAAGAGTCTCAACTGCTATCATTTAAGTATCACCTCACTCGCTCAGATTTTTCTTTCTCTCTCACTTCTCTCCCTCCCATAGTTTTCAACTTTCATTTACTATAAAATCTACACTACTCATTAAAATATTTTGTTCATGTCAACAGTTACGACGCACGGAGTGGTAACCTGTCGGCTGGTGCAGACCGCGTCCACGACCACAACCTGGGACCACGATCACAGTAAGTGTCCCTACTACCACAGTAAAAATAGCACGTTTCTCTGATACCACAGTAGCTGTATCTCCCTTTAATGTTACCACAGTGAGCTTAGCGCTGTTACCATTGTGAATGTAGTGTTTTTAATTGCTATCAAAGCAAGTACATGTATAGTGTCTCTAACCATCGCATAAATTGAAGCCTTTTTACTCTTCCACAATAAGTGCAGTGCTTGTAACTGCTACCTCAGTGTGTCGTCTTTAATTGCTTCCACATTTAGCGCAGCTGCTCTCACGTCTATCACAGTTTGTTACTTTCACGTTACTTCCACAGTAGTAATTGTGTCGCTCTCACTAACTGTACAGTAAGAATGTCGCCTCCCAGTACGCCCATCCCTTTAAAATACTCGACACTTTGTTCTCCCATTATGTTCTCTCGCTGGTACTTCATGGACGTCCTCCTCCGTACACATTCAGTACTTCCATCATCTCATCCTCAAACGTCCTCACCAACTTCACTGTCACTACCGCTGGCCCTCAAGCCTTTTCTCCTTTCATCTTTCCGAGTCCCACCTTCCCCTCTCCTTCTAGTTAAAGATCAAGTAATGGTATTCAGAAGTTATAGCAGTCGGCCGTTAAGTCAAAGATTAAGTAAAGAGCATTAGCAGACGTCATTCTCCAGGTTAAACCCCAACTGCCCATAGTTGTTCCGTCGCGTTGAGGCGTTTGTCATGGCCAGTTAGCTCTGTGCTCTTTATGTTCTTCAATTCCTGTAAAAGTAAATATTTAGGAAAGTCTTTTCATCAAATTTTTAAATGTAAAAGGAAAACAATGTGAAAAACGGTGACGATTGTGACAAATAGGATATAAATTAAAGTTAAAAGTCTAATAATAGATATTTTTCTAGATTTCTTGATTGATCAATTGTTTTTAGTGTTTAATTTTTGCCAAGGAGCTATAATGTTCAATAACTATTTATCACATTTATATCTCGGCTTAACAGTCTATAAAGCTACCAGCACTTTATTATACAGTCTAACACTAATGGACAAGTAAAATAGCTTTTTATATGAATGAAGTATTCTGCATTAAATAATAATTTTTCTAGTTATTTCGTTTAAATTTCAATCAGAATAACCACTTTCCAATACATTGAAATTGCGTTTGTTTTATATAGGAACAATTGTATCTGTTTTAATTCAAATACAACGAACAAGTTCAAAAAATTATTTAAAAATAAATCTTTTTATATTTTATGAATGTACAATAACTTAGAGTTTATTGAATATGATAATTTTTTTATTATAATATTGAAATTTTGTGTTAATGAAATACAAATTTTCTCTTATATACAGAGACGACTTTAACCTGATTAGTTAAACTTTTAAAGTGCTAAAGAAATTGTGATTAGATTTTAACTTATTTATCATAATACTTTCATGACAGCTTTAGTACTTGGTAAAAATCATTTGAAAATAATAACTTTAGTGTACCTTCCTCACTGACCACAGTCCACTTCTCAACGTAAAACACGGAGTAATGCTCACCTCTCACCCTCCCTCACTATCCAGTACCCACCTCTCACCCTCCCTCACTATCCAGTACCCACCTCTCACCCTCCCTCACTATCCAGTACCCATCTCTCACCCTCCCTCACTATCCAGTACCCACCTCTCACCTTCCCTCACTATCCAGTACCCACCTCTCACCCTCCCTCACTATCCAGTACCTCTCACCTCCCTCACTATCCAGTACCCACCTCTCACCCTCCCTCACTATCCAGTACCCACCTCTCACCCTCCCTCACTATCCAGTACCCACCTCTCACCCTCCCTCACTATCCAGTACCCACCTCTCACCCTCCCTCACTATCCAGTACCCACCTCTCACCCTCCCTCACTATCCAGTACCCACCTCTCACCCTCCCTCACTATCCAGTACCCACCTCTCACCCTCCCTCACTATCCAGTACCCACCTCTCACCCTCCCTCACTATCCAGTACCCACCTCTCACCTTCCCTCACTATCCAGTACCCACCTCTCACCCTCCCTCACTATCTAATGTCCATCTCACCTGTGTCTTGCACCTTTGCTACAGGTTCGTCTTGCTGGAAAAGGATAGTCTCCTGCGAGGGGGGTCAGGGAATCCCCCTGGGTCCCTGCCCGTGTTCCCCGGGTCCTTGGAACTGAGTCACGTGACCAGGGAGGACGCGGGCAGCTTCACCTGCCGGGTCGACTTCCTTAACTCACCTACCCAGAACCATCGCCTTCACCTCATCGTTTATGGTAAATAAAACATCAACTGTTTTTCTATTATATTATGTGTTAATTGGGATTTAGTTGAGACTAGTGACTGTTAAATGTTGGATTCGGTGTATCCTTTAGTCTCTTTGTGTGAGAGAATGAGAAAGTAAGTAAACCTTTTCTTAATTCTGATTTTTTTTACCTGTAATTAACGTTGCGGTGTAGACATTACCGTTTACCTTTTCCATAATTGTCTTTGTCATCCTTCCTCTGCTGATTATTTCGAATTCCTTCCAATTACAAATTAGAGTGTCAATGGTTTGCAACTTTTGCCTGCAATATTGGTTTACTCTCTCTTTCTCTCTTTTAGTCTCTCCCTTCCTCCGATGCAATTTATCTCTGTGTTGACGTACAGTAATATATCTTTAGGCAAGAAATGCTTTTCCTGAGGCGAAATGGGCAAATATTCTTTGAATTATAGGAATATATATCAACATTCTTCACACCTGTATCTCTCCGCCTTCGTGTGGGTGCAGACGTGGGGTGAGAGGAGGTGCCACCGCCAGCGTACTGTAAGTTGGCAGCTCAATAAGTACACTCGAACCACTCCTCCAGCTACACTGAAAGGCACACTCGGGTGAATTGTTCCTCTGGTGATATGGTGGAGATAGTCGATGCTTGCACGTGTCTAATACAGAGTTTATATCCCTTCACTTTTTGGAGTTCATGTTCTTCACTGGTTTAACTTCTCACCTGTCAGGCGTCATCAAAGGTTTTTGTTGTAAGTCGTCTGTCGTATCGGACAAAGTTTTCACAGCAAGAATACTCATTATGAATATTGTGTCTCGCGGGAGGGAGTTAGTGGAGATAATCTACTAATCTCTTGTGTACAGGGTCCCCTTTGGGCTAAAAGAACTCATCTGGCGTCAACTAAATAAAATATTAAAAGTGGCGTTTTGTAGTGAAGGGGTTAACATATATTTTACTTACACAACTCAATCAAACATCTTAACCAACTTGGGATGTTTGGGTTATAGGCGTTTTAAAATTGTAATTTATTCAGTAATTTACCTTAAAACTGATGAATGGCAATATTGTTTACATTGATTCAGGACTTGTTAAAGGCACCTTAGCACTATGTACATTTGAGGCTAGCTGTAACTTAATGGTGTCTTATGTACAACCTTTCCTCGTAGTTGTTATGTGGTTGAGGACCTTTATGGGAACATTAAGGCTCCTGTGTGTTGTATCACCTCTTTATGACCCAGTTACCCCCGCTTAAATGAACATTCCCGGAACATTAAAAAGCAAAAAAAAAAAAACAAAAAAAAAAAACTAATCAATAGATCTTTCTTCCGGGTCGGGTGACTTGACTGCATGTGGTAATAAAGCTTGTCTTAAGTTTATTTGGAAACTTAAATATTTATTGTTGGTTTGTTACATTGTTAAACACACACCTACACACACACACACACACACACACACACACACACACACATATACAGTTAAACAATCAGCTTAGGGTCGAAATAATAAAATAATGAAAAACATAATATGAAAAACTTACTTAATATAGCTCGTAAACTAATATAAAAAAAACGAAACACCGGAAATTTGTACCAAAATCCTCCTCAATAGAAGTCCCTAATAGAAGAGTTTAATCCCCCTTTTGGCCACGATAACCACAATCTTTATAAATGATCGAGTTTACTGTCTTTTAATTGGTCTATACGCAGACAATTTTACATCATAACTCTTCCTTTAAACGCTAGTTCTCAGTTAATCGATACCGTGCCAATAAAAATGTAGCATAAGCCTGATAAAGCCATCCTATTTTAATTATGTTTTATAAGAATTTACTACAGAAAATTCTACAACAAAGTGTTTATAAATTTGAGAGCGATTTGGAGTGAGAAATTATCAACTGAAGAGCAGATATTTTAGTGCGTATTATACCTACTGTTTCATTATAGTATATAGGCCTACGTGTGTTTTTTTCTTTATTTCTATAGGCCTACTGGCAGGGTGTCGTAAGAAGTGGTTGTGGCAGGGTGTCGTAAGAAGTGGTTGTGGTAGGGTGTCGTACAAGGAGGTTGTGGTAGGGTGTCGTACGAGGAAGTAGCGGCAAGGTGTCATAAGAGGAGGTCGTGGCAGGGTGTCGTAACAGGAAGTAGCGTCAAGGTGTCGTAAGAGGAGGAACAGCAGGGTGTCGTAAGAGGAGGTTGTAGCAGGGTGTCGTAAGAGGAGGCTGGGAGTGCATGAGGCAGTTATCATGACACATCTGACAGTCAGGGCTTCTCCCTCTTGACAGTTCCCCGAGGAATTCTCCGGCCATCATTTTTACCTGAGACAGCCGCCGCCACCGCTTGTGCGTTTCAGGTGAGAATTTCCTCCTTCATGACAACCCAATTTCCATTTCCCCAGAATTTTGAAGGACATGTAGAAAGTTTTCCTTCGTGAGAGTAAAGTAGACTGATGTTCATTAAATGGGTATACGTATATATGTTGATTTCTTCCCGTCACCCTCAAGTTATATTTATAGAAGGAAAGAATGAAAATCCGAAATCGAAATTTTAACTTTATTTACGTCTATTTCTCCCATAGTTTAAATAATAAGTGATTCTATACTCTATTACAACAACATAATGACTAGTTTAGTTTACCTCTACTACAAACCTTCTCTCTTTAATAATAGCTGTAACTTCTCTCTTTTGGTTCTCTTCTTAAAAAAAAGGACACACACACACACACACACACACACACACACACACACACACAAACACACACACACATAGTGGCTTTATCGGCCATTATCCCTATTTAGTATAACGTACAATACATATTCCTCTCTCTCTCTCTCTCTTTTCCTTTCACCACTTCTCTTACCACCCAGTTCTCTTTTCATCATCCTGTGTTTCTATTACCCAAACAGACACAGAACTCACCTGTGTGTGATGAGGTTGAGTATCAGAGGAATTAACCTGTACATTGGAACATTCATTTTACTCATTAATAGAGGAAATTAACCAGTCTATGACAGTGTCGACAAGAGAAACTAATTACTAAACAGGAAAGGTCTTAAACACCCACTTGTCCTCACACATTGTTTCCACTGTGTGTGTGTGTGTGTGTGTGTGTGTGTGTGTGTGTGTGTGTGTAGTGGAGGCTCTTCATATATTGGTGTAATAATGTCTTTTGGACTCGATGCTTAGTTCCTCCTTTACCTGACGAAGGAAGAGATCTTGTAGAGTGTGATAAGAGACAGAGCATGTGATAGAAATTTGGAGAAATGGAGAGAAAAAGAGAGGAGTGAAGAGAGGAAAACCGGACAGAAATAGAAAGGGATGAAGAGGTGGAAAATAGGCGAAAGAAAGAGAGGAGTGAAGAGAGGGAAACGGACAGAAATGAAGAGGAGTGAAGAGAGGAAGACAGACAGTAATAGAGAGGAGTGTTATGAAGAGAGGTAAACATACAGAAATACATAGGGATGAAGAAATGAAGAAAAAAAGACGAGAGAAAAGAGACAGTGAAATATGTAAATAAAGAATAAAACAGGTGTGTGACATAAGGAACCCACTGTAGGGACAACGAAACAGAAGCAAGAGTGAACATTAACATTTACTACAAAAAACACAGTGAACCTTGATATTCTATACGAGTGTATTTATCATCAGATTCCAATAATTTTTTACTACATACAAAAAAAAAAAAAAAATTCACAATAACATTAGCTCTGGTGTCCAAAATATTTTACCTCTGTATTTGAAACTATAAAAGATATTGTCTTGATCGAGTATAATATTTAGTTTATTATATCTCCCGTATTAGTTATAATAGTGTGTGTTAGCTGCAGTTGTTACCATTCAATACTGTGATTATGCATCGTGTTCGAACAAGGAAATGAATCTTGTCACTTTATCGGGAGGTTAAGTGAAGCTCTTCCTTAATGTGGTGTTTGATGTTGGGTCGTATTGCTCACTTATCCTCCAGAAGCTTTTAATATTATTTTACAGTTTTTTTTCAGTTACTTACTTCTAGTTCAGGATATTTCATTTTGATAGAAAAACGATTAATACCAAGGCTAATACCAATGATTATGTTTAGGTATTCTGTGTAATAGGATTGACACAGAAAAACAGCATTTTCATTTCGTCTCTAACAAACAGCAAGCTTAAAATATTTTTCAATATGGTTCGCCACAAGGAGGTATAAAGTTGTTCAAGTAAAAACTAAACTATATTATGCCCCGAATAATTCTGTCAAGATTCCTGAGTTAAATGACCCAAAGACTACTGTAACGACTCTCTCCCCTCCTCTACCATCATAACAACCACTTGTTCCAACTTGACACCAGTAGAAGAAACTGCTTCACAAAGCTACTCGACTCCAGTGAGCACTGATCAAAACCAGTTTCCCATTCGACTATGAGACTGAAGTATCGAGGCAAGTGTGTCTGCCTGATAAACTCAGTCTCTTCTCTGAGGCCTATGGTGTTCCTCTTCGCTAGGTGTGTGGACAAAAAAATCGCATTATGGACTACTGCTGGTGGTGTTGTGATGGTTTGCTGGTAGTGGACTACGGCGGTAATCCCTGGTTCCTTGTGGTTGGCCATCGCAGCCTAGACATGCTACCTGAGCTGCCAATTTTATCAGATTTTTGTGTTGTATAATTATAGTATGTGTATATAATGTTTAAGAATAATTGGGTAATATTCTGGGGTGTTGTGATAATTGCATATTTGTGTTTTAGTTGTGTTGTGTAATGTACTTAACCAACTATATTAATTACACAGTTTACTTAATAATCTTATTCCTTTCATGACTTAATTTTGTCTATTACGATAAAGTGATTCTTGTGTGTGTGCTCCTTACTTGCTGCCTCCACGTATTTCAACCCCTAGATTATTCACTCACTATTTAAACTTGTCAACACTACACATTGTGTATTATATCATGGGAGTGTATATTATCCTATAGCTGCCGCTCCCTCAACACCAGGGGCAGCCGGTGTCCCTCGGTATCAGGCAGCAGTATTTCCCAACAAGATTTATCAAAATACATTTCTAAAAATCAAATGATACACTAACAATTATTTATGTGCAATTGTGCATATTCAAAACTGCCGAGTTTTCTTAATAAATATAATCTGTAATTACGTTCATCCTGTTTCTTCTATTACATAACAGGTGTTGCTTCACATTTATTTGTCATGTGATATTTTATAACAGTTGTTTGTTTATATATCACTTTTAGGTTTTACAATTATTCCACAGAAGCTTTGAAGTAGATTAATTCTCCTGGAGTCAGTCAACTCCAGTTATTGATCAAAACAACTTTAACGCCTTTTATACTAGAACATTTATTCGTCATATTAATCCGTCCTTATATATTACTACATGTGTGGTTAATGAGAGACCGCCTTCTTGCAGCCAAGTACAATAATTTTATGTAAAGAGAAACAGCAGTCACTCATACACTTCGCCAGAGTGAAAATGAACTTTTCTCCGCCAGAATGTGAATGAGTCGGTGATGAAATTTATTTCGAAATATTTGGATTAACCAAAGTGATGGATGAAGAACTGGTTCACAAAAATAAAGATTTGTTACTAAATTTTTAGCAAAATTAACATTGTACAAGTCTCTGTGACCTGTCTGACCTTTCACATTCATTCTTCACTGCCCTCAGTACTCCCTCACAGCCTCCATAAATAGATCTCCTTATTCACTCCTTTTCACTACAACTGCCGAATACACCAGTGACACCATAACTAACATACCAGCACCATAACATTTAACTGCTCTTCATTTGCCTTAAGAGACTAAATCTACCTTCATTCTGATCCTCAACTTAACGTCAAAACCCCTATCTTTTCTTCCTGTCCTACTATTTAACTCAGTATTATTATAATCACTTATTCTCAATAGTCTGACACCTGCCTACCGCTGACATGAGACCCCCAGCTACCATCAACATCGTTACATTCAGCTGAGCCTCAACGTTAGTTTTTTTTATGGGGATTTGCTCACCCGGGCACAGATCTCCAACCCACATCAGGGACTGGGGAGCGAAAAGACAAACAATAATAAATACAGACTTGGAAAAAAATTAACTGATCATGGGTGAGAAACGATGTATATGTTGTGTACATGAGGCAGAAAGTGAGGTCACAATTTTTGTGATGCCATATGGCAGCAGGATCTACCATTAGACAACATATTATGCTTTCAATATTTTCCCAAGCGGTAGTACCTCCCTGTTAGGTACCTACTATCAGGCAGCACCTCGCCCACTTAACTAAAGGCCCTGATCAGTAAGTTTCCCCAGAAGCATAAGAAACGCGTAAGATCTAAGAAGATTGTGTGTGTGGGGTGGAAAGGAAGGGAGGGAGGGGATGGTTGGGTTTACGAACAATGTTGTATAACTTGAAGAACGAGATTTCCATCCCCGATATACAGTACGTCTTGTGTGATTCTATTAGACTGATTGATATATGACAAGACCCATATAAGGTACAGCACCTCTAGGCCGGGCATTACTACAGAGCGTCAAGACCTTTAACCTTTGTAGTTCTTTTACTACTCTCTAGGGTCATTACCTCCATAAGCTGCCCAGTAATTATTCCGATGTGTTGTTTTAGCTGACAGTAAGTCCTCTTGTCTTCTATTACTGTTATATAAACACGTAATGGTGTACTTATAGTGCAAAAAGGAATATGCTTCTAAAATTTTCTTTTTAAAACCCTATTATTTTTAACCATGATAGGTATTATAAAACATGTACTTCGACTCACGGTAAAATTAAGCGAGTAGTTTAAGTTTATTTTTTATAAAATTGTCATATAAATGGAGTAAATAATAAACAAAAGGTTAGTCTTGTTAAAATGTAAAAAATGCACGTGTCCCAAAGAAAGCGATAGCCAGTTAGAGACAAGCGACATAACACAAGTACAGACGAGTATGGGTGAGTCAACCTCAATTTAGGGCAGCTCCTCCCCTGTCTCTTGACGGCTGACGTCGTTAGTGTGTGATGGGTGGAGGGGGGGGGGGGTTACCTTAACAGCACCGCGGCCTGGCACACGTACCTCATCACCACCATGTCTCCTCCACAGAGCGCCCATCATCAGTGACGGTGGTGGACGGGCGGGGCAAAACCCTCACGGCGGGGCCCGGGGGTGTATACACAGCGGGGCCCTTCAACAACACCAGCCCGCTCCTCCTCAGCTGTAACGTCTTGGGAGGTTCGTTGAATACATTCTTCATCTTTTCTTGTTATTATAATTAATGTTACCATTATTGTATAATGTATTTCCATGAGTACTGCTGTAAGAATACTCAGGGGGATTGGTTACAAGGCTACAGAGATATACAATAGTTATTCAAACTCTGTTCTCATGGTTTTATCCGTTTTAAATATTTCCTTTAGGTCAGATGTCAGTGTAGCCAAACCACTCCAAGACAACGGATCATCTCTTGAGAGCGTGTCTTAGGACTGTGCTTCTTTGTTCCTCTCTCTTAAACTCATTTCCTCATCACATGTTCTCACCAAATGGCTCTACTTTATTTTTGTTCTGTATAATTGTAAAGTTTTCAAGGAACCTCACACGTTTTGAATTTTTTTTTTTGCAATTTCCTAAATATAATGGGTCCATTTGTGTGTGTATACGTGTGTTGTGCAGAGTTCATATATATTTATATTTCTGATGCACCCAATGTCTTATGATACACTAATACACTTTCATGTTTTCTTAAAGTATGTCTTAGAAATTAGAGCAGTGTTCACTCTAGCGATACATTACAACTCGCTTCACACCAGAGAGAAAGACGACAACTTTTCAGGAGAAACTTCAGTATTGTGAAACTATAATTATCAGTAAGCTGAAACATCACTTAAAAACTGTAATTTTATACTACACGAAAGTTAAAATTTCTCAACTTAAGGACCACTCTGAGAATTAATACTTTCGACAGACACCAGCGAGGATCTCCACCCAAAATAACATTATTCCAGGTCATTAATCATACACCCACAAGACCTGTTTGATACTAAAAATAATATAGTGATGCCGAGAGATAACGCAAAGATAACATATAGGGTACACTTTGCTTCGGGTAAGATTGGATAAATATTCCTCTTGGTGGTGAGGAGAAATCGGGGCTGTGATTGGGAAACTTTTGTTAACCTGTGCTTCTATAATACGCCGTCTACCGAGCTGGAGTTGGTCTACCGGGATATTAAACTAAACTAAACTGAACTAGACTAGACTAAACTAAACTATAAACTAGATTACTATGTTACTGGGTTAGCTTAGATTAGGTTAGGTTAATGGACGCTACAGTCTATTTCACTATATAGCTTTTGCCTGAGATTCTGTGGAGTCATTAGTTTGTGTTAAGGTCTCTCGTTTCTCATATACCTCAGCTCAGAGGCAACGTGACCGGTTTTCTCTCTCCTCTCTCTCTCTCTCTCTCTCTCTCTCTCTCTTTGAATTTATTTTAAAATTTATTCAAACTCCTCTCCAACACACCTCCCCTACTAAGTTCCCTCCGGTACACCTTCCCCACAAAGTTCCCTCCAAAACACCACCCCCACAAAGTCCCCTCCAAAACACCACCTAAACGTACTGTCATATCATCCACTTAATCACTTACCTACAAAACAACCACTTACGCCTCTCACCTTCTTTTATAGGCATTCACTTTTGTTGCTGTGAGGCAAATACCAGCCACTCCACTTCCTTGGTGCTTTTGTTTAATGGCTCTTTTTTGGCAGTTGCCGTAAAGGGAATAAAATAAAAACAATATTAAAATTTATTGTAAATTTTTATCTCATAGGTTGTTTAGATTTTATTATTTTAACATGATTTGCGTTGCAAATGAAGAAAAAGTTGAATATTAAAAAAAAAAATTATGTGGGATTAGTTTACGTTCTCTTCCTGTCGTCTCTGAAATACTATCATCCGAGGTCAGGATATATTTCACAAGCTTGACACTCAAAGTGGATCTCTGAAATTGTTTTGCGTGTACCAGGTGTGGATAATAACAGTGGATCTGCAGGAATTACGAGGATAATAAGTGTTTTGAAATGACATATTGTCTCAGCATTGCAAAAACGAAATGTGTCATATTTTAGTCTAGTAAATCCACAAATAAATTTATTACCTGAAAACTAATGTTACCTGAGATTAATGGGTAATAAAGGGTTAATCCAGTACTGTAAATCACTACTATATACACATCATAAATAAACTGTATGGGTAAGGCACGATTTTTTAAGGGGGAAGTAGTTCAGTGTTTACCTCACATTGGACTTTAAACAAAATTACAGTGAAGACCATCAGAGCAAAAACGTGATAAACTTTATGCACATTGTCCTCTTATTGCGTATTTTTGTGTTTAATGTGTGTAGGTTTATTAAGAAACAGGTTAGCTTGAGTGTACTGTATATGGGCTGTGTGTAATAGAATTTAACTGTATAGGGTAGATGAGGTTAGATCAGTTTTTTTGTGTGGGAAATATTTCACTACGATAGAGTTGATGAAACATAAATAGATGATGATTCAGTACTATACTAATGGTCTATATGTCTATTTCTCTCCTCTAGGGTGGCCGCCGCCTACTATAGAGTGGATCAGGGAAGGGAGGCGACTGCCGAGCTCTATAGACAACGGGGGTGACGGCTCAGTGGGTAGTCGGTTGTTCATCAGCTCTCTTAAAGCCGAAGACTATATGTCTGAGATGCAGTGTGTGGTGATCAACAACAACCTCACAGCGCCCCTCTACAGCCGAGTTAGGATCGACATGAACAGTGAGTAATAGACTTTTCTCTCCGCGTCTCACTGCCTCACGTACTAATGTCAATGGAATTAGGAAAATACGAGTCTTTTTATTTTTTTACCGGGTGATGTAACGAGATCTGAAAAGATGTTTGAATTTCGTCCTTGAATAATTTGCTAAAAGGTTTCAAAATACCTTATTTAAGAAAGTTTATTTCGTTCAATAAGTTTATCCAGTCTCTCGTTTGGTTGGTAAATGCAGCTCTATCAGTTTAAACTAGGATTCGTCTTTAGTCTCTCAAACAGCTTTTATATCACTGTTTTCAATATCCTCTGTTTACTGGTGACATATTACAACCACTTTTTCAACTTTGTATCATCGAGTTTGGTAAAAGCTTCACCGGTAAAAAAAATTCCACTGGTTGATTCTTCCTCTAAGGAACACAGACACCAAGACCAAACATATTCAGACCCTCTTAATGACATGATTTAATTACTTTTGATTTCATAGCAAAAAATAGCATCTTAACTTATTTCGCAAGGGTGACGACAGTTCATCTTCATCCTCCACGCCCGTGCTAAAGTGCTTCATCTCAATATTTACCAGAGAGCACTTAAGGCCTGCCGGAGAGAGATTGAACATGTACCGCGAGTCCTGGACTTCTGTCGGTATAAATTTATGTAATTTCCTAGCAACTAGAACCCCTAAAATTCATTGTAATCAAAGAAATAAAAGACTAAAACCTAGACCCGTTGTTTTCAGAAAAAAGTTGAATACTACAATGTATTTAATTGTGACGAAGCAGAATAACTGCAGTTGTTCCTGAAACTAACATAAATGTTTTTTTACTCGAAACATTCCTGTAAACTGATATCAAGCTTCGAATTTTTTTCGTATTTTTTCCGTTCAACTTTTTTTCTTTAACCCCCGGGCAAGGATTTGTGTGTGTGTGTGTGTGTGTGTGTGTGTGTGTGTGTGTGTGTGTGTGTGTGTGTGTGTGTGTGTGTGTGTGTGTGTGTGTGTGTATGTGTGTGTGTGTGTGTGTGTGTGTGTGTGTGTGTGTGTGTGTGTGTGTGTGTGTGTGTGTGTGTGTGTGTGTGTGTGTGTGTGTGGGTGGGTGTGTGTGTGTGGGTGTGTGGGTGTGTGGGTGTGTGTGGGTGTGTGTCCATCTATTGTATATCTGATATACTGCCGATTCCCCAGCTTACTTGCCAAGGGGTATTGGATATAGGTGTTCTTGATCACCGAGTCGGGTTCTTTTGCACATAAAAAGTTTTCTAAAAAAACAAAAAATAGTTGAGTTCTGTCTGTACCAGTTGAGGATCGTTATCACCCAGTCAAGCTCTATATGTGTCGCCAAGCATGAAGTGACAGCCAAAGTTCACTGGCGTAATAATTGGTAATCCTTTAAAAGTTTCATTATATTCACAGACAATTCAAATGATAGGTTAAAGATATAAATGATGAATTTCGGTTGTCCACGTATTTACAGTATGTCCATGATCCTGTAATTAATGTACTTAGTTTAAGTAATTATTTCCAAGAAAGAATTATTGTCAATACGTAGCACCAAGATCTTCCTAATTACGGTATGGCAGTGAATTATTGGCTGCGTGAAGTTTATTAACAATATAATACTAAAGGTAAACCCTGAACAACTACTGCATATATATTCTTTATCATTAAATGCTAAATATAAAATATTAATCGCCAATCACAAACAGGGAAACTTATTCTCGAAATTTTTGATGGTTCACTGGTCGAGTCGACCCCTCAGTCTGCGCAAGACACAGGGCATCAGATACAGTATTCCATAGATGTAATTAACACAATCTCAACCGTCGACTGGCTTGACGCTCTTCCTTTAGTTAGGTTCTTGGTCAGTTTTTTCACAACGTGGGAACATGTTCTTGATGAGCACTAAATTTGCTAAATACTGTTTCTTTCTTGCTCTCTATGTCGGCTATCAGCCTTAAAACCTTGAATTTCCATTGACACACTGAGCCTGCAAGTGAAGAGATTGTAAATGCCAGAATGTTTAGTGCACAAGGAAAATAAGGAGCTCAGAATAAGTACTGTGATATATGAATAAACAAATAAAATAATTAAACAAATAAAATAAATAAATAAATAAATAAATAAATATATATATATATATATATATATATATATATATATATATATATATATATATATATATATATATATATATATATATATATATATATATATATATATATATATACAAGGAAAAGAAAAACACAGAGTTCCCAAAGCGCTTTCGTGTAATTCACATCTTCAGGGTAGTACAGACTGTCTGTGCTGCCTGAGCAATATATTATATATATATATATATATATATATATATATATATATATATATATATATATATATATATATATATATGACACTGGTTGAAAAACGTCAACAGAGACGAGATGGAACATCTTACAGCTGTCAGTTTCACTGCTGACTCTACCAGGACAATGCAAGTGACATAATATTTTAACTTTGTTCAATATGTATTTCTCTGTTTGTAAAACAAATAACGAAAATAATTCATGACTTTGCTGCAAACGGGGGTAATAAATCGATTTAATGATCACGGGAGAAAAGATTAAGGTCACCTGTCGTCCCCAAAGTGTCATCTCACTTCTCCCACAAGTGTTGTTTCTTAACCGTCTTTCTTAGTTGTTGTTATATTTTTAGGTTATTCCTGGGAATCCGTCACGGTTCCTCCCTCATACTTGTTCCAACCATTGGCTCAACGTTGCCCACCTACTCCGAGCGTAGAGTTTGTTTGACTTCGACGGTAAATATTCCTTAATAAAACATCCATTTATATCTGAAAGTTAATGTTTTCAAGCAGTGATGCCTTTACATACATTAAAATCGGCATTAAAATGAGACAGTGCTACTCGAGCTGAATAAAATAGTCTTGCGTTAGCCAGAATAATATACCTAAGTATTGCACTAAACCTTGGTTAATGTTCAGTACCTGTAATAGTCTGGTCACTAACACACTTTGTGATTAAACAATATTTCTTGACGGACAATCTACAAAAAAAACGTTTTTGCATTTGCAAGAGGATGAATATCACAGTATCTTCTGTCAAAAAGTGTGGCGCATAACTTCTCCCCTCCTCCTCAAAACTCCCATTTATGAGTATGTAAGTCAGTCCTGTGTATCATGCCCAACGTGACTCCTGATGATAGCTTCCAAAATCAACATACACATTTGATTCTTTATTCACATGTTGAAGAATTTGTTTCACAAATACCGCCAGTACCTGGGAGCCGACACACATCAAAGAACATTTACCTCCACAAATGTGGTGGCTTGCATTTATCCGGCCCAACAAACAGGCAAGCTGCTGATCGGATATTATTAGGTGTGTCATGTGTGGATCTTACAGGTATGCCATGCAGATCTTATAGACAGCCTGCTGTGTGGATATTGTAGACAGTTAGGCTCGTGTTTTAGCGTCTTGCTGTGAGGAGTTTAGAGTACGCCTCTCTATATGGGTCATTCCCAGCAACCTTTAGCTTGTATCTTACAGACGCCTGTGGATCTTACAGGCAGTATAGTATTTTTTTTATATAGGAAGGTTCATGTCTAATATCATCCCTCTGGAGGTGACCTCTTGTAAGCATCCCCCAGGTCGTCTTCTGTGTAGTACCTTCTCTATGAAGCATCCCTAATGGGTGACCTTCTGTATACCTCCTTCTATAGGCAGTCTTCTGTATAGCACCCCTATAAGCAGATATCTGTACAGCATCACCCTCCATAGGCAGTCTCAACAGCAGCACACCCAGCCAAGAGCTCTTGTAGTGTCCCAGGCAGGTATAACATATATTTTTTAACAATATTCGTCTAAATGGATTAACTGATAGCGTCAGAGCCCCAGGGATAAAGGTCTTGAAGGTGTATATAACCGTCACTTTGTTGGGTGGCGCCTCCTTACAATATATCAAGTCCTCAAGGTGACGCTCTAGAATTTAGTACTATCGGGATTCTAACGGGGTCCGTGGCGGGGTTGAGTCCACCAACCCTGTTAAAAAAAGAAGGGAGGCAAATACTTATTGAAGTCCTGGATATGGTAATTAATGGAAATTTAAGCCGTCGTTACAACAAATTAAAGTTGAACAATACTTTTCGCTGTGAATACCATAGAGCTACCCTCAACCTCTGGTGTTTGTTTCTCGTTAAAGAAAACAGTTTGAAGGTTATCTGCTGAGGTAAAAACTGGAGAAAATAAATCAGTTTTATCACGAGGTAATTTCCTGCAGCCAAAGATTTGAAGTTAGTTTAGGTTCTTGTAGCATAATGGAGTTGGCTCTGAGGATGGCAGCCAGGTTGTGTCGTGTGGTAGTATGGTGGTGAGGGACAATAGAGAGAGTCACTTGGGGTGGTGGTGATGGTGGCTGTGGTGGTGGTGGTGGTGGTGGTGGCGGTGGCTGTTGTGGTGGTGGCTGTGATGGTGGTGCTGGTGGCTATGGTGTGGTGGTGCTGGTGGCTGTGGTGGTGGTGGTGGCTGTGGTGGTGCTGGTGGCTGTGGTGGTGTGTAATGGTGGTGCTGGTGTGTGGTGGTGGTGGCTGTAATGGTGGTGATGGTGGCTGTGGTGGTGGTGGCTGTAGTGGTGTTTGCGGTAGTGTTATTCTTGTCTCAGTTTTAGCATCATAAATTTAGAATAAAGATGCTCGGGTAACAGTGACAGTGGATTTGCGGTGGTACTGATAGCGGTGTTCATGGTTGACGATGGTGATGGTGGTAGAAATGATGGTACTAGTAAAGATCATGGTTATAGTTCTTACAGTAAAATTAGTTGTGGTGGAAGTAGTAAGGATGATGGTGGTAGTAGCAAACATAATAGTGGTGATGGTTGTGGTAAAAATATGGTAGTAGTTGTTATAGTACTGTAAAGACGATAGTGGTGGTAGTTCTGAGAGTGGTGT